TTGAAAAAATAGGTGAAGGTGGTTTTGCAACTATATACAAAGCTACTTGGATAAATGGTGATAAATATGTAGATTATCTAAATAAAAGACGGATTGGAGCTAAAACTGTGGCATTAAAAAAATTAAAAAGCACTCAAAATATCTTTGATGGAATTTTAAATGAGGTTAATCGCTTAACTATTATATATATATATATGTATGTATGTATGTATTTGTATTTGTATTTAATATAATATTAATTATTATATGGTGATTTAATTTTTTTAGCTTAAAAATTACATTAAATTTTATAAAAATGCTCGTATAATCAATATTTATGGAGTTACAAAAGATCCGATTACAAAAGAATATATGCTTTTAATGGAATATATAAAAAATGGAAGCCTCCAAAATTATTTATTAAAAGATTTTAAAAACTTAAAATGGAAAGATAAAATATTAATACTCTATGATATTATTTGTGGTTTAAAAAGGATTCATAAACAAAATGTCATTCATCGTGATCTTCATAGTGGTAATATTCTTCAACAAAAAGATGTCTACTCTACTTTTTCATATATTTCAGATTTCGGATTATCGATTTCAATTGACCAAACATCTTCATCATCGTCAAATAAAAGAGATATATTTGGAGTTTTACCATATCTAGCACCAGAAATTTTAAGAAGTGAAGCACACACAATTGCATCCGATATCTATAGTTTTGGAGTATTGATGTCAGTTATATCAACAGGTCGACCGCCAATCAGTAATTTAGGACATGATACAGATCTTGCTATAACAATATGCCAGGGTTTGAGACCCGCATTTTCTAACAATACTCCCAAATTTTACATTCGATTAGCATATCAATGTATGGACACTAATCCGGATAAACGGCCAAATGCTGAAGAAATTAGAAAAGTTATTAAATTTTGGGAAGATTCATTTGATGATAGATTTTTTAATGAAAATTCTAAAAAATATAGTTATTCTGATGAAAAGATTGCTAAATTAAGATCAATTCGAAATGAATTTCTTGAAATGGACAAAACACCATTTGATCCTTCAACAATTACGACTGCCATTCATCCAGATGCTGTTTATACCAGCAGATTATTACATTTTGCAAATCTTCCAGAACCTGTGAATTCTAGGAAAGTTACAATAATTGGCAATTATAATGGCAAGTATTAATCGTTTGATTATTGAATTTCAAGGCTTTGGATAAAATTGACCATGTTAATAAATATTTTATTAGATTCCCATCAAGTTGATTTATCAATACCAGATGAATTTTCAGATAAAGATGAAGATTCTGAATGAACATATAATTATTTAATTTATAAAATTGAAGAACTTTGATAATCGATCGTCAAAATAAATGATAATTTTTAAAAAATTTTTTAGAATAAATTATTTTAAATCACCTCTACCTGTTATTATAGTAAAGAAAATGTCTTCTAATGATTTACAACCAAGTAAAAAAATTCGATTAAATCCAGGAGAAACTGAACCCGTTTCTACGACTTCTTCTATTGCTACCGATAATATAAAGGATGAAACTATAAATACGAAGAATGTTGATGCTATTGACATTGTTGACAATGCTAATAATGCTACTATTACTACTACTAGCAATGCTAATAATGCTACCACTACCGCCAATGCCAATAATCGAAATAGCTGGAAAACGCGAGAACGAGATGTTGGGATAACTGAATTTATTGATTCTTCTATTCCGGGTTTTTTTGGTTTAATTAAAGAAAGGTATATATCATCATATATATATATACTTTAATATATAAATATTTATATAATATTTATATAATATATATATCTTTATCTATTATAAATTTGTTTAATATAGAAATTTATATCTATGCATATAATGTGTGTGTGTATATATTTGATTTAATGATAGATATTCTGATTTTTTGGTTTATGAGATAGATAAGAAGGGAAATATAGTTCATCTCACCAACTTTGATATTAATCATGCTAATGATTATAATAATATCAAGGAAGAAAAATCAAAAAAGACTAATCAAGAGGTAATCTTTTCTCGAGAAAAATCAAATTATTTTATTTGTGCTATTAATAACAACAATAATAACATATTAATGATTTTTTAAGGAAGTAATATCGATTGAACAAATTTATCAAAATATGGCAAATTTACTTGATCAAGAGACAACAGATTTAGTCAAAGACTTAATTAATAATGGTGAAAAAGAGAAGAGCAAGGAAGAATATGGAGATACTAATAATGGTAGTAGTAGCAAAATTGCAAGTGAAAGTGGAAACAGAGGTGGAAGAAACAAAGATGGCGATAATAAAAATTCATTATTTGTAATGACAAAGGTGAAAAAAATTTACATATAATATTAATTTTTCTTTATAATATCACCAATAATAATTTATATATATTATGAAAGCCAATAGCAGATAAAGAAACTAGAACAACTATTCATCATTTTTTTAAAAGGCATTTTGGCAATAAACTTAATACTGAAACAAAGGAGGAAGGAATGATTAAGATTAGTTTCCATACAAATAAATCTAGATGTATGCTATGATATGTATATTACATGACATGATTTATGATGATGTGATTGGATATTTGAAGATTTGTTTATATTATTTTTAATCTAGATACAAGAAATAATAGAAAAGAAGAAGCAGCAATTTGGGACAAATTAGGGGGGTCTTATTGTCAATTTGTATTATATAAAGAAAATAGAGATACAATGGAAGCTGTGAATAATTTATGTAAAGCTTTAAAGTTAGTAATTGGTAATTTTAGTAAATTTTTTTATGATAATAATTTAGAACAGCATTAATAATAATATTATTATTTTAAATATTTGATAGAGTTCCATCAAAAGTATTTTCATATGCTGGTACTAAAGATCAACGCGCGATTACTACTCAGAAAGTTACAGCATCCAAAATGAAAATCGAGAGATTGGCTGGACTGAACCATACACTTAAAGGAATGAAATTGGGAAATTTCGAGTAAATTTTGCTTTAGTTATTTAATTTATTTTAATGTGTATAAAATGCTATGTGTAATCCACCTAACCAGTAAAGGCTTTCTTCTTTAGGTATATTAAAGATCCATTAAAACTTGGTGATCTTAATGGAAATCACTTTGCTATCATTTTAAGGTAATGTGATATATTAATGAATTAAAAAATTTATAAAAGGATAAGATAGCGTGTTAAAGGAATAATTTTATCAAAAAAAAAATTTATATATTTTAGAGATGTTAAAGTCGATTCTGTAGAAACCATTAAAAGATCAATAAAAACTTTAGAAGAAAAAGGATTTATCAATTATTATGGTACATATAAATCATACCACACAATAATTTTCAAAACAATAATTAATATAATTAACCTCTTGATTTAATAGGAATGCAAAGGTTTGGTACTTCATCAATAGGTACACATGAAATTGGTAGAGCGTTATTACAAAATAATTGGGAAGAAGCTGTTGATTTATTATTAAGACCACGTATAGGAGGTACATATTAATAATGATATATTTTGTGTGTATATATATATAGAATAATAATTAGCTAAACTGTCTGTTATAATTTTAATGTGATAGAGCGACCAGACATAGCAAGAGCTAGGCAACATTGGCAGGAAAATAAAGATGCAAAACAAGCATTAGAATTATTTCCTAGAAGATGTATTGCCGAATATCAAATTTTATCATCATTTGTAAAGACTGGACATAATAAAGATTGTTATGGAGCTTTTATGACCGTATGTTGAATGTAAAGCGATTTATAGAATTTATTATTATAAGGATAATATTATTAATAATGATATAATTATTATTATTATTATGATATAAAGATACCAAGGAATCTTCGTCTTATGTATTTACATTCTTATCAATCATATATTTGGAATACAATTGTTTCCGAGAGAATACGCGTTTATGGGTGTGATAGCCCAGTTGTTGGAGATTTAATAATTGTCGATAAAGATTTAATAAATAATGATAATGATGACGAGGTCGCCAGTGTTAACGGTGTCGGTGGTGATGATGGAAAATATGAGAAGGAAGATAATGACTTTATGACAAATTCCGATGATCTAAAGGTAAGGATCTGAATTTAAATTTTTGGAAAATTAATTAAAAAAAATTAATTTCTAATTAACAACATTTTATTATTTAAAGGAAATAAAAGTGAAAATTTTAAAAAAAGAAGATTTGTCAAATTATACTATCAATGATGTAGTATTGCCTTTACCAGGTTACTCTGTTATTTATCCTGATAATATAATATTTGATAAATATAAAGAATTAATGTATAGAGATAAATTGGATCCTCGTTCAATGAGAAGAAGTGTAAAGTGAGTTCTTTTATTTATATATAAATTATTTGAGAAATTAATATAATTAATAGTCAATAATCATTATTATAGAGATTGTTCATTATCTGGATCTTATCGTCAAATAATTGGGAAACCAAATGATTTATCATGGTACAAATTTATATATGAACAATGATAATATCAATTGTTTTGATTAATGAATTTTATTTATTATTGACTGATATAATATTAAACTATTTTTAGGAAATTGTTTAAATATGATGAGGTGAATGTTTCATTATCATTAACTGATTTGGACATAATAAACGGAAAAGTAGAACCTGAAAGTGTAGAAGGTGATTGATTGATTGATTGATTGATTGATTGATTTATTTATTTATTTTTATTACAATAAATAATCAAACTTTGATTTTTAGATGGAAAATATGTTGCACTTCGTATAAATTTTTCGTTATCAACGAGTAAATATGCAACAATGACATTAAGAGAGTTGATGAAATCAACAGATGAATATGATAATGAGGAGAAGAAAGAAATTAGCTGATTGTTGATGTTGATATTGAAAATACTTTTTATAATTCAAAATTTTTCCTTTTAAATAAATTTTATTTAATTATTTACATTATTTCTAATTTATTACATTTTCCCATCCCGCAAAAAAAAACATTATATTAAAGACCTGAATCGTTTAAATGAAAAACTTCTTCCAATAGACAAATACATTATTCTTTCAGCGTAAATTGAATAAGTAAAACCCAACATAAGGATACAAACAAACTCGCCTATTCTTCTATCATGATTTAATTCAATATAAATAGTACTGATTAATGGTACTATACACATGGAAGTAAACATAAAAGAACAAATAGAACCTTGTCTGATTGCTAAAGAATGTTTAACTTTAGATAATCCAAATAAATAAACTCCAACATATAAATAAATTATTATTGCTAATGATGTTATTATAATAGTTGATATATAATCTGATTTAATAATTCTTATTGTTGTTAAAGTTGAGGATGTTAATGCAGTTGTATTTGATGGGTCAAGTGATGACATTGTAGAATCTACAATTACAACTTTTCTATAAATTATTCCTACTATGCTTGAAATCATTGATGCTAATGAATAAAAGATCCACATAATTGAACTAAATAACCCAATTTTTTTTTGATTTAAATCAATTTTTTCCAATTCCATTCGATATAAACTCCTTCCTCCGGACAGGTAAATTTCTTTTAATGTTTTTAATTTTATTAAGCCTATGAATGAGGTACTTCCCGAGAAACCAAGCGCAAGTATAAACAAGCTATATATTCCATAAAAGGCGCCTGCTATTATTGAACTTAAGCTAAATAATAATGTTAAGATGTACAAAATAATAAATTGTCTTTGATATGGAAACACTTGTCCAACTGTTGTTGTTGTTCCTTGAGTCTGATTCTGACTTTGTTGTTGCTGTTGCTGTTGCAGCAATACAGTTGTTGTTTCTGCAATATTTACTTGGTTCAGATTTGAGGTTCCCGCCTCTTGGTCAACTGTTTCTTGATTTCGATTTATTAGAAATCTTGCAAAAAAGCCATTAAACGACATTTATTTATTAATATTAATATTATTTTTTTGTTGTTGTTAAAGAATATAAGGTTTAAAAATGAAAGAAAATTTAGTTCATCCAATTAACTCATAATGATGATGATCTGACTGAAAGTTAAATAACACTAATATTAAAATCATTAAAAAAAATTTTCGTCATTCATTGTTATCGAAAAATAATAAATTGTAATTATAATTATAATTATCTTTATAAAAATTACGAACTATTATTATGTTTACAATTCCCAATGCAAAATAAAAATTTATAAATGAGAACGGATTTGGAATTTTCGAAAAATTTAAAAACAAAAACAATAATAAACGTGCTCCATTCCATTGACGAATAACTCATTTGGCTAGTTATCTGATTAGATTAGATGATCGATAAATTTATTTTACTACGAATTAATATTAATATTTCGCCAATTTACTTTTTTTTTTTTTTTCTGTGCTATTACCATCAATGCATAATTATCATAATTGGATGACAACTAACAAACATCTCCAAAAAAAAAAAACTGGTAATTGATAATTTTTCAAGATTTAATTTAATCATTCGTTATATTTTTTTAATCATTATCTCTAGGCGTTCTTTTTCGCCTTAATCTATAACGATAATGAAAAATAAAAGAATCTCTGATTTATTGTTAATGTTTCATCTTATGCTAACTACGCCCATCATCATCATTAATATTGCAAGTCTTTATTACACGTGATATTTTTTGTCATATGATCTCTTTTTTTTGACAGCTTGTCGAATATTCTAGATTTTAAAAAATGGTTTCCATCTATGAAAATCATATATATATATATATATATAGCAAATCGTTGATAATGGCAAACAATAACAATTACAACAATTTAATTAAAACAAATAAAGTATATCGCAACATGTCACAGGAAAATAAAATATCACGCCAGAAAATAAATAAATAAAAATTATTTTATAGATCGTAAAAGTGCATCTATTATTCTACCAATTGACTAACATATTTAAAGATGATCGGACTTTTTCGTCTTCTAAAAACATCCGGCTCCTCCACCGGATGATAATCTAATCATGTCAAAATGGATTAGTATTACTCGCTGGACATACGACCAATGTTTAACAAGTAGTTAATAATACTGATATCAAAAAAATAAACAATATCCGAGATTATATATATCAATAGCGAAGGCCTGAAAATTTAAAGATTCGATCTCAAATGGGTTCTTCTGGTGTCAATTGTTCAATTGTCATTAAATCTACAGATTAGGGAAGAGAAAGTAGCCATTATTCATTTTACAAATAAAAGCGAGAGTAAAATACAACTATCGTTTCGTCATGAATCATCTTGGCGAATTCTACCCATGTATCCGTAAACCACTTGAAATCAAGGTCCTAAATCGAAGAGGATAGAGACTTTGGTATCATAGATTATTGAATTCATGATGAATCAAATAAGCGACTCCACACAAAATGGCGAAAACATGATCAAAAATGACGTTTTAGAAATAAAACTAGTAATAGTGGCTTAGAAGTGTTTTTCAAATCTTGTGCAATAAAAAATTGTGATACAACATTATTAAGAATCACATCCGTTTGTTACATCCTTTCAAACAAACGTGTCAATATTATTGGTATTTATTAAACTTTCATTATCTTACAATAACAATACATTAATAAAAAAAGTTAAAACACGCACGCTCGCATTCTATTCTTGTAAAAAAATCTTCCTACATACACAAAATTGGCATTTAATAATTAATATAATAAGATAAACAAACTCATTTTTCTATATAAAATAAGGTTTTTTCCATTTTTTTTTTTTTAGAAAAATTTTTCTACAAATTTTTTTTCAAAAACAATTTAGAAATTCACATGGCATTCATAGACGAAACCACACCATTTGCATTAGTCACATTATCAAGCTTTATACTTTTATCAATTCAAAAAATTAGAAAACTTAAAAGTAAAATTAAAAAATTTCACGACAATGATGATAAGGAAGATCATATAATTAACAATTATTTTTCAACAATTAAAAGAGACTCGATTAAAACTTTAATTTCATTAATTCAATCAATATTATTCACATTTTTATTGGGTTGGAGATTATATTATAAATTTAATAATGACGAAGAAGAAGAAGACATTGAAGAAGACTATGATCATAATGATATTTTATTCGCTGCAACCTTTTCAATTTGTTGGGTAAATATTTTATCAATCTCTTTTACGTTTCATAATTGAATGGCCTTCGTCGTATATATATATTAATCATTTTCTTGCTTTAATTTCTTAAAGTATTATTGTACAGTGTTATCAGCTTTGACTTTTTTCAAAAGATCAAAAAAATTAAATAGCACTCTTAACAAACACTTGACTATAATATATTTCACATCGTTTCTATCTTTACTATGGCAAATTCGTAATCTTTCAGATGGTGCCGAGAACAAAGGAAATGATTGTTCTCTCGACAAATGTAACATTGACATCCCATTCGTCATCACCAACACAATCTTATCTTTACTTGCCACCACCATAGCAATAACCACGCCAAGGGGTCCTCCAGAATACGATGATAATGGTCGTCTGGTTTCTCCAAACAGTTATTCCTCAATATGGGATTTCATCACTTTCTCAACAATGAATCCGTTGATGTGTAAGGCTTACAAAAAAGATTCAATAAGCGATTCTGATCTTGATCAACTGCCACGTGATTACCGCGCCTCGACCTTGTTTAAAAAATTCGAGAAATATTCATCTCCAAGTTACAGTAATATTAGCAATAGTAATAGCGGTAGTAAGAAACATGGATTATTATATAAAATTTGGAAAAGCAATCGCAAAAATGTTGCTTATCAAATTACAGCTACAGTAATTGGAGCATCCTTATATTATGTTCCTATAACTTTTCTTTACAGTTTTTTAAATTTCATTCAAACAAACCCTTCTTCACTTGGATGGGGATTCGTTTGTATTTTTGGTATGTTAATATCAAATATCTTGTATTATATTTCAACCACCCAACAATGGTATTGGAGCGCAAGTGCAATGCAAGTTAGTATCAAAGGAATGCTAAATGCTGAAATCTTTTCAAAAAGTTTAAGATTATCATACAATGCAAATAATGATGATGAAGCGGAAAAAAATAGCAAAGAAGAACAAAAGGATTCATCATCTGATATGAAAGGTGTTGGAAAAATTACAAATCTGATGACCGTTGATTCTCAAAGAATTGGTCAATTTTCAATGTGGTGGACAACTGCTTTGATCGATTGTCCAACTCAAATTACAATTGGTCTTTATTTCTTGTACAGATTATTAGGTGTTGCTAGTATCTTTGGTTTTATGATTATGATAATTATCATACCTATAAATCAACAAACTGCAAAATATTTCGCTAAAACTCAAGAAAAATTAATGAAAGCAAGAGATAATCGTGTCAATCTAATGAACGAAGTAATTAATTATATATTTTTTTAATAATTTTGGGAGCTAAAACATTTATTAATTATATACAATTGATTTTTTAAAAGTTATTACAAGGTATTAGAATGATAAAGTTTTTCGCATGGGAAAAAAATTGGACAAAGCAAGTTTTAGGTAACATTAATTATTTCAATACAAAATACGAATGAAAATTAATCAATTCTTTTTTTCTAACATCTTCGATTATCTACCCAATATAATTTAGAAACAAGAGAGGTTGAATTGGTTCATCTTCGTAAAAACTTTTTGTTTCTATTAGCATTTAATTTTATTTGGCTATTATCACCAGTCCTGGTATCTATAGTATCATTTGCTGTGTTTTCAAAAATTCAAGGAAATGTTCTCACACCATCTATTGTTTTCACTTCAATTGCCATCTTTAATGAAATTCGTTTTGTCTTGAATCAATTACCTGAAGTTCTAATGCAAGGATTTCAAGCCTACGTCAGTTTAAAAAGAATTGAAAAATTCTTGGATTCCGAAGAAATCATAGTCATTGACAATAATAAAAGAGGTGACAATGACGATGACGATGACGGTGACGGTGATGTTAATGAGGATAGAATTATAGTAAAACCAAAAAAAAGAATAGCTTTTGAAAATGCTAATATTTCTTGGGGAAAACCATCATCATCTCCTTCGACGAATTCAAAAATTGACTTCATCATGAAAGATTTAAACATCGAATTCCCCTTAGAAAAATTAAGTATAATATGTGGTCCAACTGGGTCCGGAAAAACTTTATTACTAATGGCACTTTTAGAAGAAACAAATATCATTAGTGGAAAAGTATATTCTCCAAGATCATCATCTAATAACGATGTTTTCAATCAAAATAATTCGTCATTGTTGCCTTCAAATTGGATAGTTGATAATAGTGTTGCTTACGTAGCTCAAGAATCTTGGCTTCAAAATGCCTCTATACGTGATAATATATTATTTGGATCACCCTATATCGAAAAACGTTATAATGAAGTGATTAGTATGTGTGCGTTGACTAGAGATTTTGAAATTTTGGAGGATGGCGATTTGACTGAGGTTGGAGAGAAAGGGCTTACACTTTCTGGTGGACAAAAGCAACGTTGCGCATTAGCAAGGTTTGATATATAATAATTGATTAATTGATTTATTTGTTGATTTGTCGATTTATTAATGACTAATAATGATTTGATTATTTTGATATTATTTATAGAGCTGTTTATTCAAGAGCAAAACATATTTTAATAGATGATGCTTTAAGTGCTGTTGATGCTCACACAGCTAAACACTTGATTGATGATTGTATTACTGGCTCATTGATGAAAGGTCGTACCAGGATTCTTGTTACTCATCATATTGGACTCGCATTATCAAAAGCTGATTACTTGGTAAAATATATTGAGATTATTATTATAGAATTAACAAGAGTTGCCTTTTACTCCTTCCTCTCTTTGTTCCTCTCTTTTAATCATTTGATTTTTTTAATAGGTTGTATTAGAATCTGGTAAAGTGGTAACAAATGGTGTAGTCGATGATTTACGTTCTTCTGGCGAATTGTCTTCTGTGTTGAAAGAAGCAGATAGCGGTGTTGACTTTAATGATTTAGCTGAAGCTGCTGCTGAAACAATTCCACTAGTAATTAATAGCAATAATAAAAACATTAGTAAAATTATGTTACATCAAGGTGAACCTTCAACAGCTTCATCTATCACCGTAGTTAATAATGGTGATAATTCTATATCAGAAGAATATGACGATGAAAGTAACAATAGTAGTGATGTTTCTTCAATAAGATCGGATATTGATGTTGAAGGATTATCATCAGAAACTTCTACTATTAAAGAGCAAGATATTAATAATAATGGTAATAACAGTAAAGGTGGTGGTAGTGGCAACATTATCAAAAGATTATTATTTAATAACATTAATAATAACAATAACAAACAATCGAGTGGCAGTAAATCTTCAACTACTGCAATACAAATTGATTCTAAAAAACCAAGAGTTTTGATTAAAGAAGAAGGTAAATATTTAAATATTCTTTATTTCTCTATGATTATTTATGAGTATCTTATTAATATATTTCTACAAACATATATTTTTAGAGAGAGCAAAAGGAACAGTTAAATTGAACATTTATTTGAAATATTTTAATGCAAATGGTAATTTATTATTTTGGATTATGGTGATTTTCTTATTTTTTACAACAAGAGCTGCACAAATTATTGAGAGTTGGTGGCTTAAAATATGGTCAAGTTCAAGTAGTAAAGATCCTAGAAATGTGACACAACAATTATTCAATATGACAACTTACAATATTAATAATGACAACGATAACAACAACGTACTATTATATGATTTATCGTCAGTTCCAGATTTTGATTTAGATGATTCAAATTATTATTTACTACCATCCATTACCAATAATAATTACACAACTATTCGAGGCGACAATCATGATGTAGATTATTATTTCAACATTTATGTATTGATTACAATGGCATCCGTTGTACTTGGTATCATGAGGTTCTTATGGTTGTATTATGGTTCACTAAGAGCTTCTAGAAATCTTTACGAACAATTACTTCACAGAGTTATTAGAGCACCTCTTAGATTTTTTGACACTACACCTGTTGGCAGAATACTTAATCGATTCAGTAAAGATTTTGAGACAATCGACAGTATTTTAATTGGCGACTTGGCTTTATTCTTAAACAATGTGATTATGATGATCAGTACTGTAATGGTTATAACGGCTATAACAAAAGAATTTCTGATCGCTTCGTCATTGTTTGGCATATTGTATATTATTGTTGGATCATTGTATGCCAAAGCTTCCAGAGAATTGAAGCGAATAGACTCGGTAACAAAGTCACCATTATATTCACATTTTGGTGAAACACTGTTGGGTATTACTACAATTAGAGCATTTGGGGCAAAAAAGAAATTTATGATTGACATGTTAACAAAAATTGATAATAATCATCGACCATTTTATTTAATGTGGTGTGTTAATCGATGGCTTAGTATTCGTTTCAACGTTATTGGGTCATTTTTGAGTTTCCTTGCTGGCTTGTTTGTTTTGTTGAATATAGATCATATTGATGCAGGTTTGGCCGGGTTGTCGTTATCATTTGCCATGACATTTTCAAAACAAATTATGTGGTCAGTTAGGAAGTATACTGCTTTGGAGATGAGCTTGAATGCGGTAGAACGAATTGATGAATTTCTTCATATTCCACAAGAAGCACCGGAAATTGTTAATCCACGACCACCAGCTGCTTGGCCACATAGTGGTAACATTCAATTTGAGAATGTGGAGGTCAAGTATGCACCTGATTTGGAACCTGTTTTACATCATATTAGTTTTAATATTCATGGCCAGGAGAAAATTGGATTAGTTGGAAGGTATTTATTGTTTTGTTTGTTTGTGAATTTGCGAATGTGTTGGTTAATGTTATAATTAATCATTTGATCGAGAATAAAACGTTAATTAATCTTTTTTTTATAAATAAATACTTGATTTAGAACTGGATCAGGCAAATCTACAATATCATTAACTTTATTTAGATTTATTGAACCATCAGATGGAAATATTTTTATCGATAATATTGACATTGGAACTATTGGTGTCGAAGACCTTAGATCCAGAATCACAATTATTCCACAAGATCCAATATTATTTACAGGTTTGAATTAAATTTTTTTTTTTGGAATTCATTATCCATATTATCATTATTACTAATGATTTTAATACCTAATTATTATTTATTTATCTTTTTTATTTAATTATTCAGGAACGATAAGATCAAATTTAGATGCATTTTCACAATACAGAGATTACGAAATTTATGAAGCATTACAAAGAGTTCATTTATTGCCTTCATCAACAACCAAAGCAACTTCCTCCTCATCGCCATCAATTTCATCATCAAAAAGAAATAACGATGATGATACATCAATAATAATGACAAATGATGATGATGTTAACAACGACAATATTAGCATGTTTAGCAACTTAGATACACCTATTACAGAAGGCGGTAAAAATTTTAGTCAAGGACAACGACAATTATTATGTTTAGCTAGAGCTTTACTTAAACGATCTAAAATTATACTAATGGATGAAGCTACAGCAAGGTAAAATAATTACTTTTGGAGAAAAATTTTCTTAAAAAATATTTTTTATTTATTAATTATTTTTTTTTAATAATTATTTAGTATTGATTTTGCTATGGATGATAAAATCCAAAGAATGATAAGAAATGAATTTGTTGATTGCACTATATTGTGTATTGCACATAGATTAAGAACCGTTATTGACTATGACAGAATATTAGTATTAGGTACGTTTTGTATGTGATTATTAAACTTTGAGGAATGAAAAAATATTAAATAATTTTTTTTTAATTATTCTTTTTTTATAGATCAAGGAAATGTCGTAGAATTTGACAGGTAAATTATATATGTGCTTTTTATTAATATACTTATTAATGCAAATCAAATAGCTAATTTTTTCTTTTTTAAAATCAAAAGGCCATACAATCTCATCACAGATTCAAACTCATTATTTCATAAAATGTGCAAGAATTCAGGAGAATTTGATACTTTACTATCATTAGTATCCTCTAACAAAAAATAAATTTTTGTATTTTTTTCTTTGTATTTATTGAACATAAATAGTTTAATGTAATAAACTGTTTACAAAAATTGCAAATAAATCAGCATATAATAAAGATTCTGATTTTCATTTGTACATGTATAAAAAAAAATAAAATTCGAATTTTGTTGAAAAGTTGACGCGTTTTAGAATTTTGACAAGTTTTTATGGTCCAATCAATTTAATTGATTACTTTAAAAGGAAAAATACAATTTTTTTGATTTTTAAAATTCTTATCTTTCACAAAATAAAAAATAAAAATATAAAAATATGGGTGGAGCTCAAAGTACTGCAAAAGGACAGGGCTATCATGTTCTCAAAGTAAAAAATATAATATAATATTCAAATTCAATTAATATTTTCTCTCTTTTCCATAATAAACACTCATTCAATTAATAAATAATTGACTAATAAATAAATAATTTAGGTACATGAAAATTCACCAGCTCATTCTCTAGGAATTGAGCCTTTTTTTGATTATATCGTTGGAATTAATGGGCTATCATTGGTAATTCATAAAAAGTAAAAAAAAAATACTTCAAAAATTGAATTCACTTTAAAATTATCAATTTATTTTTTTTCAAAAAAATAAAGGATACACCATCATCATTTATATTACAAGAACAACTGTATAATAATATTGATAAAAAAGTAATTTTATTAATTTATTCAACTAAAGAACAAGAATTTCGAGGTATTTTTTTTTTGAAATAAAGTGTTTGTTTATTTTATATTATTTTTTTTAAAATAATGATTTTTTTTTTGATATTTTAAGAGGTCTCTCTTGTACCTAATAAGAATTGGTCATCGAAACTTGAAAATGGATTAATTGGTAAAAAAGTTATTACCATGTTTATTATTATTATTTATTATGATACTGAATAATGAACTTTTATTTTTATTTTTAGGTTGTAGTATTAGATATTGTTCATATGAAGTACTTATATAATTCTATAAATTTAACTTTTTTTTAATATTTATAAAAAAAAAAAATAGAATAATTAATAACTCTACAAATGTTTATTAATAGAGTATTAATGAACATGTATGGCACATATTAGATATAGCACCTGATAGTCCTGCAGAAATGGCCGGATTGGTAATTAATTAATAAGAATTATTAGAAGCAACAGCAATAATAATAATAATAATTCAAAAAAATTTTTTTTTAGGTTCCTTTTACAGATTATGTTATTGGATCACCTCATGCAACATTACGAGGTGAAAATGATTTTTATGAATTGGTCGAATCAAATTTAGGAAAACCAATTCGTATTTACGTTTATAATGCAGATTTTGATGTTTGTAGAGAGGTATAGAATATTTAAACAAACAAACAAACAAATAAACGTTTATTTATATGTACTATTAATGATAATGAATAATGGATAATTATAATAGGTAATAATTGTTCCAAATCATGAATGGGGTGGAGAAGGCTCATTAGGTTGTGGAGTCGGTTACGGGTATTTTATTTTATTATTTATTTATTTTTTTTTGTTTTTGTTTTATTTATAATTATGATTTCTATTAATTAAATTATTATAATATGTAGATATCTTCATAGAATACCAAAAACCAACAAATTTCATAATATCAGTCCACATGATTTTGAATTATCATGGAATAATAATGATGAAAATAATCAAGATGATTATGAGGATGAAAATGAAGATGATAATAATAATAATTCAGAAAAATATATTATACCAAATACAAAAGATACTACTGAAAATTCTTCCTTAACAGACAATTCAACAACAATATCAACAAATGATTTTATATTGGATACTAACACTGATACTACAACCTTTTCTGATATCCCTGTTGTCACAACTAACACTGACAATATCATAAATTCAAGTAATAATAATAATAATAATAATAATAGTAATAATGATGTGGCAGATGATAAAAACATTGATACGATATCATCACAGTTATCAGACTTGAACACTACTCAAATTCCTCCTCCAAATCCTTCTGTTTCAATAGATTTTAACGAAGAAAAAAATTAGCAAACTATAAAATTATTGAATTTATTTTTTAATTAAAAATCAAATAATTATAATTGTATTGGATTTAAAATAATAAATAATAATAAAAAATAAGTTTCCATAATCAGGCAATTCATTGAATCAATTTGGTGAGAATATATAGATATGGATTTAATATTAATGATGTAAATAATTAATGAATAATTAAACCAATAATAGTTTGTAGAAGATTTGTAAAATTCAATGGCAACTGTATATTGGATGAATTGTTGATGAATCAATAAAATATCATCCGTTTCATTAACATCTTTTTGATTGATCTTAATTCATCAAGCTTTTCTTTGGAAGAATTGTCTAAGCAGATTAAACAAAATGATTTGTACCAATTTCCTTAACGGTTAGACACTTATCATGACACTTACAAGCTAACTCAATAAACATTAAACCTTAGAATTAATATTTTAATAAATAAAATAATAATCAATAATAAGAATTACCATTTACAGGTTGTGTGTTATCATCGTCCATTTCATCAAATACTTTTCTGATAGGAATTAATCATTCAAGTTTTACAGATTGACATAAATCTTGATCTATGTTTATTAATCAATTTTCAAGTGCATTATTCCAAAAAAAATAGTATTGAATATTTTTCCAGCAGCTGGTTGTTTATCTGGATTAGAAATCCATGCAACTATTTTTGAAAATTCTGACCTTACTTACTTCTTTACAAACCTTCATTGTTAAACCTACATCACGAACCAAATTATCAAAAAGGTTGTGGCTCTGTTGATACAACTGACATCAAAACTCTAAAACTATAAATATCTGATGCCATTGTATAGAGTTCACCATTTAAAATTCAGGCCCAAGATAACTAAAGCTGCTGGACCTAAATCTGCAACTATTGCTTTAATATCTTTGTCTCAAAATTATTATCAGAATGAATGTTATGATGTTTAACACCATATTCATGAATTTCTTGTAAGCCATAAATAATATTAAAAAGAATAGATATTTTATCTTTTCATCTTAAAATTTTAAATTTTTTTGATAAATAACTATAGAGACTCTTATTCATTCTCTGAATATTTTATCATCATAATATATTCATTGCTATGGATCTTGACTTAAACCGTAATATGACGATTTTTTGAAAATTTTTGAACTATTAAATAACAATAAATTTTATATTAGAATTAATAAATTAGATTAAATTTCGATATATTGTAAATTATAACTACTCCTTCAAATTTTATTTGTAATCTTTTTGTTAATATGTAATCTTTTAATCACAACAACATCTCTTTTATTATTTTCAAATTTTTACCATTTATCCAAGTAGCTTTGCAAAGCCTCCTGTCCTATCTTTTCAACATTTCTTTTCTTAATCATCACAAGGAATCTAAATAATCACTATTATAAGATGTTGCTTTAAGTAGGTTAGCCTTAATTATCTCATCAATTGTGTCAATACCATTGGTTTAAGAAGGGCCGAAAAATACATGTTTAGGAATGGAGGCTCTCAAATTTGCACGTCACACGCATTTAATTTAGAGAGGAGGGCACCCAATCCACCAATAACATTGGATACTTTCATGATGCTGCGCAAATTTGCGGATGTCTTTTGCGGAAAAATACATGGTTTTAGGAGGGAGCTGACCTTTATTATTATAATCACGTATTTTTTGAAAAAATAATAATAAATACTGAAAATTATAAGATTTTATATAATGTCATTTGGGGCATACTGCAACAAAACAAGACAAAGTGAACATTGGTATTACCAATGATTTCAGGGATGGTGATGATTCTAGTTATGTAACTTTTTTTTGATTTACTTAGTGCTAACAAAGAAAATAAAGAAAATGACGAGAAGGTATTTATTCAATAAATTAATATTTAGTATTCAATCTTGCAGAGATTGATTATTCTCCACGTTCTTTTTAGGAGCGGAAAAAAAAGACAAAGATGCTGGAAAAAGAAATTATTAGATTAAAACGAGAATTAAAACAATTAAAAGAGAAAAATATCACATAATGCAAATTTTGGATTGAATAAATATACAAAAAACTATTTTTCACTCATTCTATTTCATTTTTATTTATTTATTTGGTATACTGTTTATAACTAACTGCCTAATTAATTTGTTCTTATTTGACAGATGAAGGGCCAACATCGAAGAGAACAAAACAAAACAGGAAACCCATACCTATAGAGATGCTGAATGAATTTGTAAACAAGTGGAAGAAATGCCTCCACCATCCACATTTTGCAAGAATGCTACATGGAATAATGCAAAATACAAAGATCCCTATACACACTTATCATACTCCTAAAACATACTTAATTTAAGTAGAATTTGAGTAGTGTTTAAATGTGAAATAAGTATGTTTCAAGTTTATTTCAAGTGTAATTTAAGTACATTTGGGAGGCACTTAAAACATCCTTGTTTTTTGCAAATTTAAGTAGAAAATAAAAACATAGGAATGTTTTAATGGTAAAATAAGTATATTCATACATATTTTGCAAATAATTAGTGAATTATCTTTTTTGATTTAAGTATGTCATTGCTTAATATTTGATAATGATAATAACATGATATATGGTCATGGCAGGAAAATTATGATAAACTGATAGAATGTATTAAAAAATGTCTTGTCGAGAAGACGCCCTGCCGGAAACATCTTCAACCCGTTAAACTGGCACTAAAAACAAATTTTGAAGTTATTAAGAACATAGAAAACGTACTGCACATTTTGCTTGATAAAATTAGAGTTGTTATATATTCACTTTATTATCGTTTTCTCGTGTGACTTGAAAAAAAAAGCAAATTAATTTTAAATTAAAACAGCAATAAAAATAAATTATTAAAATTATTATCACAAGACAGAAAAAAATTTATATCAATATAATTATACTTTTTTATCTAAATAATACTATCTACTACCATTGACCATCATTAATTATTATTATCTGATATTAAATCCTCCCACATGATTTCGAGCATCTCCACATCATTCTGCTTTGTTATTAATTCACCCCCCTTAACATTTGGTGGTCTTTGGATAGTTTTAATATTAATATCAAATGGATATTTTATGCTTCCTTCCTCGCCTGCACTATCAAAATTTGCTAATAATATGGATGCATCATTTTTTCCATCTATCCTGACTAACAAGTTACCTCTTCTTAAATCACCATGTACAATTTTGTTTTCATGTAAATAACTAACAATTTCATAAGTTTTACTTTTGATTTCTTCAAGTGGAGGAAAATTAGAATTTTTGAATACATAACTGCAGTATGTATTTTTGTCTACATAATCTGTAACAATCATTATCCAGCCTCCTGCAAGCGACTCACATGCATGTAATTTAGGAGCATACCCCATATTTGCACATAAAAGATGTGCCTCCTTTGAATATCTTTTGACAAATTTAACACGTATATCTCTATTTGTTGTAGTTGTAGCTAAAAAGACTAGTTTTCTCTCAAGTTGAGACTTGTAATTAAATTCAACTCTAGTGTCATCATTTCCATAATAGAATTTGTATGGGTACTTAGGATTACGAATGATTTGGTTTATACTATATTGCAACTCATTCTCATAGTAAGACTTTAAACAATGTACTGCTTTTTTAAAAGCACCAAATGTCCTTGCAGCAGCCAATTCGATATCTTTTTCATATGGATTGTAAGAAAGTGGTATAGGTAATGTCAATTGGTCCATATGAACTTCCTTTGGGATTGCTGAACCAGCAAAACAAAACATAGGACCTGGGAAAAAAAATTTGTAAGAGTTTATTATGAAATATTTCTTCATGAATAATATCAAATAACCTACCTGCAAAGATAATATGAATGCATGGAAAAACAACACCTGTGTATTTTTTAGCATTATCAAGGACCATGTTTATGTAATACATTGAAGATTGAAAGAACCCTTCTCCACCAGAGCCAAATTCCACTTTTGCCTCAATATTCACATAGTAGTGGTCGCCTGTAACTAAAGAACCATCTGTCACATAACCTTTGCTGCCTATTTTACAAGCCACGAAGGTTAGGTCACAGTATTTTGTAATTAAAGTTCTAAAATCCTCCGCACGTAAATTTTCATTATCATAAAAGGAAGACATTCTTTTACTTAAAGTTATAACAAATTTAATATCATCTGAGGTGGGAATGAGATTTTTGCAATCACTGACAAATTGGCCAAATGCTGGATGAAGGAGTGTGACCGGTATTGAAGAAGCTCCTGTAGGGCGATGGCATAATATTGGATAGTTGTGTTTTTGTTGAAATTCTTTAAATTTATTAAAGTCTGCATAACTTGAGGGACACAATTGATTTGAAAATGCATTTGTGAGAAATGATCTTTTTTGTTTTGGAAAATTCTCAACATTATCATACTTTATATCTTTTTCAGCCGCTTTAGTACAAAAGGAGTAGAAGAATAATTATCAAATATTTCTCAAATAGGAACCAGAATATTTATCAGTCTTCAATGTATAACTCAATATTTACATTCGAGATCTTTACTTGTACCCTTCTCAAGTCTTTTTAATTTTTTCTTTAGTGTCATCACCTCCAATTCTAATTTTTCTACTTTTCTTTTCCAACTCTAAAGATGATTGTTCGTGCAGAGAATAATTGTATATAAAAATTATTTTATGTTGAATTAGTGTTTACAATATTGAATACTAAAATAATAATTTATTGAAATAAATACTTCTTCGTCGTCGTTTTCTTTATCTTCATTTTCATTTACACTAATAAAAAAAAAGTTTATAATTAACTAGAGTGATGACGCGTGGCAATGATCGCAATAACCACCATTATTATGAAAAACACTTACCCAATCTTCGATTCTTTAATGTTGTTGCTTTCTGCTTTTTTTTTGTTGGTTTTTTTGTTCTGCTTTGGCATTTTAAGAAATTAATTAAATAGTTTTGAAACAAGATATTGATTGAAAAGTCAAAATCAAATTAATATTAATATTAATTAAATTTTGGGGTGGGGTGTTTTGATACAAAATTCTGATTGGCTAATTTGAATTTCACGCGTGTGGATTTCAAATTCACGCACAACATATACACACGTTTTTTTTTTTGGAAAAACAATTTATTTTTTACAAGATGAGGGAATGTGGTGGTTTGATATGGTTCTCCTAAAGAAGACAAGATGTTGTTTATTGATGGCGAGAGGTACACTATTTTTATTTTTGTGTATTTATTTTGTTTTTATTGTTTTATAAATGTATTGATATGTGCGTGTCTTTTATTTTATATAAATGTATTTTATTGAAATCAAAACCTGGATGGAACAGAGCTTGTCTGTCTTGGGTATTTATTATAGAGAATTTATATCAATAAATGAATGCTTGGTGTCATTTTACCTTTCATAATAAACATTAATATTTAATATTAACACTAATATTAAGATGTCAAAGCAACACAGCTATTATAGAAGAAACATTTCAATATGTAACATTGGATTATTGAAAATTTTACAGATGTCAAGGCACACATGCTACCTTGAATGCTTACAGTCATTCTCACATGTTCCTTGTGTACAAAAGGCTAAACTAACGTGATACCCCTATGATATGATGATGCAATTAAATCTTCAGGGGGGGGTGCGTAGCCCTGGAATTTATTGAAGCTGCATCATTGCCAAGGATGCTTGTGAATTCTACTTAATCTTCTTACTCACAGTACTTAGCCAGAGAAGGCTGCAGATGTGTTGGCTGAAAAGTTGTCTGCAATTATCCTACCTCTAAGATAAAGATGGCTGGCTCTGCAACCAAGAACTTGCAATTCTGGAGGTTGGAGCATTTTGAAGAATCATAATTTTAGGTGTATGTAAACAAAAATCTGTAACCTGTTTCAAGCTCAGGGAGGAAATTTACAATTCAGGGAGGTATTGAGGACTCTGGAATTGCATGCATTTAGGCCTGAATGTTAAGAGGAGAGTTTTGTTTTGTATAAACTAATTATTTTTCTAAATTCTCTATTTCTTTTGATATTAACCAAATTTATAATTTTGGGTAGGGATATGGGCTTTTGTCCACTTCTATAGATTATATATTTGTCAACCAAATACCATCAAAATGGGATTTTTTGCACTTAATAATCTTTTTAGGAAGGAATAATAAGAAAAAAGTCATAAAACAGTTTTGATTTTGGTACAAATTAATCATTTTCATAATTCTCTGTTTTTTGATAAATTTTTAATTTGATTAAATATTTTTTAAATAGGATTAAGGCTGTTCAAACTTGAAGTTCTGTTTAACGTCAACCTTCCTCTCATTGTTTTCAGAAATTGAATTTAAACTAATGTTTTGATCATCAAACCCTTCCAAAAAATGAAAATTTACATGATTTTTTATTGGGGAATAAGCAAGGTAGATCAAAATGTTTAAATGTTAATTTAAATCATTATCACTTGTAGAATTTTCTTATTTATTTGCAAATTTTTACTCCCTTCATTTTTTTTTAAAAAATGATGTTAAACAGATCTCTAAATTTGAATGGCCTAATTGAAATATACATTATATGTAGATTATTTATTTCATCCAAGAAATGTAGCTAGTAGGTGTGCACCAACAAAACAGCAACCCAGGTTGCAACCTCCTGAATTATATTATTATTATTTGCAGATGTCAACTTTATTCTAGTGGGGATAATATGAAGCAAATGTCACATGAATGCTGATCCTCAGTCAGCAATAAATGCTCATATGGTAACAAGTCAAGCCTGGTCTGAGTGGAAGATATGAGAAAATTTTGCCAACCTTACAAAAGCCTTTCAACATGTTCAGGTTAGCTTCACTCATGGAAAAAAATCCATGTGCTGAAAGTGCTGAATTGCACCACCCTGCATGTTTGTGATAGGAAATTTCTATTAAATCTGACCCCTGCAATCAATATCAGATTTATCATTCATTTTTGACCCTCCAGTCAAATCTGGTCTGAGGAAGAATAAAATTATGTGAATCCCAGAGATCTGAATAGACATACATTATTGTTTTGAAATCATGTTCCTTAAAAAAATTCATTTCTGCATGGTCCTAGTATTATTATTACATGGGTGATGCAATTGTTTGTCATGTCAATGACAACATCAAATGTATTGAATAAGCATCAAAATCATCATGGATGGAGACATTCACATACAAGGAAATGATTAAATAATAACAAAAAAGCTAAGTCATGTTTATTTTTATCTAACAAAGATATATAATTCAAAAAACAATTATTTTATTCCACTCTTGCAATGAATGGTATTATTTGTTTATTTAGCATTATTGATTGAATCAATCACACAAATGGTAGTCAATTTATTTAAAAGTTTTATTTGAAATGATATTATTTTAAATGTGTAAAAAAATTTTTAAGGATTTTTTTTAATTGATGTTTTTTTTAAAAGATATTTGTAAAAGGTTTTTTGATAGTCCAAAATCAATCATATTTATATACTTTAAAGTTTCTTTATTTCTTTTTTTGATAAAAAAATAAATTTAAACATTTGCTTATTTGCTTTTAGTAAATTCAAATAAGTTTTTTATTAGACCAAAAAAAATGATACACATTAATTTTTAAAATAAAAAAATATGTTTCACTGTTTTAGTGTAATTAACACAAAACAACAATTTTCTTCAATTGTTTTTTTAGAAATAACAATAATTCTCTTATTTATTTTTAGTATGGGTCAATAATAATTTCCATAATTTTATTTTATCCATTTTTAGTAATAATAACAATTTAATCTAGACATAATTATTTTTCATGGTCTTTTATATCAATTATTGGATATATGTTTGAAAATACTTCTGTCTGCCTACTTTGCTTCTCACCACAGGACCTATTTAAAATCTCTTCAATCTTAAAATAAATGAAAACCTACAAAGTGAACATAAAATTATATATATAGAGATAAGTGTATATGAAAAATAATAATAAGTATAATGGTTCTAATGAATATCAAAAAGCCATTGATTTTTTAGAAAAAGGATGTGATTGTGGTTGTTCTTCAAGAATTCCCAAAGAACAATTTGCAGAATTAAGGGAATCCTTTCAAGCTTTTTCCAAGTCTGAACAAGACATATTTTTAATGGCCCAACTTAAAGCAATGGATGGTGGACCAATAAGCACTAGTAGACGCCTTAAAAAGAAAACTAGATCTAATAAAAGAACTTTCTATCATTGAGATCACAATACACTTCTTTGTCAAGAAACTTATCTCAATATGCTAGGAATTGGTAGGACTTATTTTGAAAATATTAGAAATCACCTGATAGACAATGGTCTTTTACCAAGAATTCATGGTAATATTAAAAGAATCCCTCAATGGAAAACTAAGATGGTGATTGATAAAAATATTGCAGAAATAGTAAAGAATTTTCTGGAAAATTATGCAGAAGTCCATGGATTACCAAGTCCAGGAAGAAGTATTAATAGAATAACTCAGTCAATTGTATTCTTACCAGCTGAAATGAGTTATAAATCAGTCCATAGAGATTTTCTAACTGGTCTGGAAGAAGATAGCAAATTAAAATCCTTAAAATATGATGCCTTCAGAAAATTATGACACCAATTGACACCAGAAATTCAAATTATGAGTCCTAGGACTGACCTATGTGATACTTGTCAACATTTTAGAGATGGTTTACATTATAATGCTCGCCAAGAGGAAGAAGCTAAAGATTTACTTAAAAGGTTTAAAGAGCATCTGTCCAAGGCCAAACTAGAAAGAAATTATTATATATAATAAAAACACCAAATTAGCAGAAGAACAAAGAAAATTAGTTAACCAAAATTATTCAAAGGGTAAAACACAATATTGTAGTATTGATGCTACTGCACATTATAGTTATGATTGAGCCCAAAATGTTCATGTGCCACATTTAGATCAACAAGTAAGTAAAATATATTACCTTAGTCCATGTAAAGTCCATTTATTTGGTATTCAAGATGAAGCAGTAAGGGAACAAATTAATTATGTTCTTAATGAAGATGAAACTATAGGAAAAGGACCTAATGGCACTCTTAGCATGATTTTTGATGGAATTAAGAGATTGAATAAAGGTGAAAAACATTTAAAGATTACTTGTGATAATGCTGGTGGACAAAATAAAAATAATGTAACAATTTGATTTTATTTATATTTAGTAATTTGTGGTTATTATAAAAGTATTGAATTGAATTTTATGATTCCAGGACATACCAAGTTCAAATGTGATGGTAGCTTTGGTTTAATAAAAAAACTCTATAGAAAAACAAGAGTAGATTGTCTGGATCATGTGGTTGAGGTAGTAAAAAAGTCTAGTCCAGCAGGATTGAATAAAGTTCAATGTTATAAAAGTGGAAAAGGTTTTCAATACTTAGATATTAAAGCAATTTTGGGAATTTATTTTAAGAAATTACCAAATATACAGAAATATCAACATTTTCTTTTTGAAGCAACTAAACTTGGTGTGGTCAAAGTTCAAGAAGTTGCTAATGGACCTTTTGCTGAATTCAATTTATTGAAAACCAAGAAAGCAGATATTTTGGAAGAAATTAGAGCTTTATTTATTTTAGTGTTAACACCACCTCCTTTGGATTACAAAAGACAAGAATATCTTTACCAGAATATTCGTCCATTTGTGAAAGATGAATACAAAGATATTACTTGCCCAGGACCAATATATACTGGCAATGAATAAAATATTTAGAATAAAATCACCTTTATGACTTCTTACTGTCATTAAGTTTAATAAGTTTAACCTTTTGAGAAATATTGTTAGCTTTTCCCATATTTAAAATAAAAAAAGCACTAAAATAATTATATACTTAACATACCCTAAGGATATAAGTATATTAAAAGAATAAATAAAAAAAGTAAAACCATGACAAACATCATAGAAGCACAAAAAAAAGTAAATAAAGAATTATTAGAAGAAAATGAAAATTTAAAGAAGCAATTAGCAGATAAAGAACAAGAATTTAAATTAAGAATTTTAAATGCAGTTAATAATGTTATGGAAAATGAAAGTCCAGAAATTGCTGGCACTTTAATGACCTTACAAAAACATTTTTGAGCTTGAGATGAATGAGTAAAGGTTCAAAAAGAAAATGGAGTTGAGAAAGCTACTTTTAGTAATGAATTCACCTTTGAAAACATTGTTAAAGGCTTTACTGAATGAACCTTGCTTAGTTGTAATTCTCTCAGTTATGTTTCTGAACAAAATCAAAAACTTGAGAAAAAGAATACTGTTTTAGAAGAGAAAGTTGTAGGATTAGAACAAACCAAGCAAGAATTAGAAGCCAACCAAAAAGAACTGGAAAAAGAATTAGAGTTTGAGATGGCAAGTGCTGATTGCCACTTGGATGCTATTAATACTTGTAAAGACTGATATTTTACTCATCATGTTAATCCTTTAAACAAAGAATTGGTGAATAAGTCAAACTTATTATCTACAAAACAAAAGATAATTGAAAGAAAAGATGAAGTAATTGGAGAATTAAAAAGTGAAATAAAAACAGAAAGAGAATTGCTAAGAAATGCTCGCAGGAAAATAGAAGATCAAGACAAATTAATTAAATTGTTTGAAAAGCCTTTGCCTGAAATACCAAGTAAACCAAGTAAATTTAAAATTTTTAAATCAAAGATAAAAACTAAATTCCACCACTTAGTAGAAAAAATTAATCATCAAAATCAAGAATTAGTTGCTCAAGTAGAAGTTAGAAATTAAGATTAAAAGCAGTATGAAAGAATTGCTTTATACAGTGTTAGAATTGGAAGAGTGAAATAAAAATTCAACTTGCTGTTTTTGTTATAACAAATCTGTTTGCCAAATTCGAACTCGGAACAAAATAACTCATGAGATAATTGCTAATGATGAAGCATGTGAAAACTGTAAAGAGAAATTTGAAAACAATGAGTTAGAAAAGTGTGAGAGATGTGGAAGGTTGAAAAATAGGCACAGTTATGTTTGTCATTGTATTGTTGATAATGAAAATGTTGATGAAAAAGAACTCCCTATTTTACCTCATGAGGAAAGAGAAGCAACTTTTTATGAAAGACAAATAAACTCTTTGCGAGAAGAACTAATCACTACTGAGGAAGCACTTGAAATTGAAAGAGAAGAAGTAGTCAAATTTCAAGAAAAATCTGAAGAGTGGAGTAAAAAACAGAAACAGGAGTTATTGGATAAAGTAAAGGGTTTAGAAGAAAAAATTAAGCAACTAGAAGAAGAAAACAGGAAATTAAAAGAGGAAAAGAATGGTCAAATTGCTCAAATTGAAGTCAAAGAGACTAAAAGATGGTCTTGATTGAAAATAAAAAAGTAATTGAGGAAATTTCCCTCTGTATATGGGGCGCGGAAAATAGAAAAGGACCTAACAGCAAAATCATGATTTTGAGATAACTAAAAAAAGAGATTTTGACCCAAAAATTCGGTATTCGTATATCATTTCCATATTTATAGTAAAAATAGGGGGATGTTTTCCAAACAAAATAA